CAGTCCCGGCCCGGCGGGACGCCCTGAGGCACCGGCCGGCGCGGGGAGAGATGCGGGAGCCCCGGGCTGAGGGGGCACCGGGCGGGCAGCGCCAGACACAGGGAGGGAGCAGCTCCGTCCTCCTGCTGAGAAAGTTGACGTGTGCCCTCCGTGCGAGGCACGTCCGGGAGCCTGCCGGGCAGGGGAGGTGCGGGGCGGGCTGCGGGGCCGGGTGTTCGCGGGGAGGGAGGTCGGAGCGAGCCCGGCGGGATGTCCCGAGAGCGGGGAAGCGTCGGCCTGGGAGGCAGCGGCTCCTGAGGGGTGTAAACCTTCGCCTGGCTTCTTTCCTGGTGAGCTCTGTGAGTAAACACCACTTGGGGGAAGTTTGCAGGTGGCGTTGAATGGGTTGGATTTGTAATCATAGAGATGTTTTAATTAACGTTGATGTATCGAGGGGAAGGTTTTAGAAGTGAGCAACTGGGAAGCTGCAAAGCTCACAGAGGCCTTGGAACAGGAGTAGATGGCAAACTAGAAATGAGATTGCAGTGTGGTATGGCTGCAGGAATAGGTTAGTGCTGCATTTGGGCAGTATAGACACGTGTATCAGTACTTTGTGGAGAAGTTAGGGATTGTGCCCTTGCAATGGAATGGTTATGTGTTATGGTTGCGTTTGGAACATGTTCAGATCTGCATTTTACCAAAATGCTAATGAAAATCTGACAGTAGTTCAGAAGAGCTAATAAAAGCTCTCAGTGTTGAAAGAAGATAGTGACTTAATCTAAGTACAACACACAGGGGTGAGCTAATGAAGAAGATACAGCATAAATACTTGAGGACAGTTGTACAAAAGAAGAACGTAATTATACATCATAATTCTTCAGACTCATTCATTACTGGATCTTTTTTAGTGCTCTGGGTAGGCACTGACACCCAGAATCTTGCTAGTAAATTAAAGTATTACTGAAATGTAATTAATATGATCTGCTGTTTGTATCATTCAGTACATAACTAGGATGACAAATAAGTTAGATTTACAGAAGGAACTTCCTTCTGGTGGACAAAGGAATCTGAATGTCTCTTGTGGTGTTAAAACTGTACCAGAAAGACAAGTCAACCAAGGAAATGTGTTATGGAAATTGTTGTCATTCACAGGTCTGCAGTGGATACTCTCCATTTAAATTTTATTGATTCTAGATTTTAAACCTAAAATATTGATTCTTTATTAAGCTTGGGAAGATTTATTGTTACTGAGTTTGTGAAGTTACTCATAAGTAAGGATTGCACATTGAGGACCCCAGTGCTTTCACTCTGCAGTTCTGACTTCATTAGTTCTATGTAAGTTAGTTCAGAGAATATTTTCTTCCTTTTGCTAATACTAGACAAAAATTGTCAGTAATAATTTTAATTATAGCAAAGGGTCTTTACATATATTCTCAGATATTTGTGCTGTAGTTTTTCTAATGTTGTGCTATACGAGATTGATACACTTTGTAATGAAACTAGTGGACTGAAAAGGGCTCTTCGTATGTTGTATATGGAGGAAAACAAAAGCAGTTTCTGTTCCAAGGAAGTAGTTCCAGAATTTAGCTGTCTTTAACCATTTTTGTTGTTTGAAATTGGGATTGAGTTTATCCTGTTTTGCTTCTTTTTTTTTCTTCTTCTTATAATTTGCTACAATTTCTGTTGTTCAGTGGTGTTACATAGGTAGCTACCAATAACCTTTTTGGCAAGATTAACCATTTAGAAGAAATTAGAAGAGGTCTGAGAACAATGCCTAATTTCTGGAAACAAGCTTCTCTCCTCACAGTTGTCACCATGGCCATTCTGCCCATGATTATGTCAATATATACCAATATTTAGAAATCTTAAAGTCAAGAATTGTAGGACTGTTGGCTTCCGTGGTCAGATCCAGGAACTATAGGTGACAGAGTTCAGTGCAGAACCAAGGTTTAAGAGCTCAGGTACAGCACATATGTAGTTGTATCACTTATGGAACAAAGCCTGTGATTCCCAAAGCTGTGATAGTTGATATATTCTCTTCTGGATTGAAAATAGCAACACATTGAAAAAGGTAGATACCAAAGCCACTGCAAACCTGTCCAGTGTAGGGAGACTGCAGTCTCCTGAATGAGCCTGACACATCCCAGCCTGGTGGTCCTCAGTTTCATGCAATTGTTTCCTTCTGCCAGGCTCTTGAAATTGGCTTTTGAAGGTGGAAGGACAAAGTACACAGGCTGCTGCCTTAGTGGTTTCTCACAAATCACTGAGAATTCCTTTTGGGAATCACTGGACTATGGATTCATTCAAGCAGCACTGTGCTGCAGTGAGATCAGACCTAAAGTGGTGAGTCCCCAGCCTTGGGGATCCCTGTGCCAGGCTCCATCATGTGGTGCAGACTTGCTCCAAATCTGTTTTTTTTGAGGAAAGGATAATTTGTGCTACCTACAGTGTCTTTGAAAGTACCGTTAAGAGCCTGATTCTGCCAGAAATGTACCCCGTACGCAAGTGGTTTTCAAAGTACACCTAAGCAGGCATTTGCTCCTCAGCTGAAGGGTCTTGACATCTCTTGCTGCTTGTGGTCAGTGTTTGTTGGAGCCCCTGTTTATGAGTCTGGCAGAATGATCTTGGTGCAGCTGTCTCTTCTTTTCCCCTTTGCTTGCTGGCACTGTTACTGTGAAGCAGTGGGATGCTGAACTAAGAACCCTGTCCCATTGTTTATATTACAGTAGTGCCTGGAAGTCCTATTGTGCTGAACACTGTGTAAACATGCGTTAAGTGACTGTTCCTCTCCCAGCAAGGTGCAACAAATGTGAAGGGATGAGGATATGAGCTTACTTTTTGCATAGTATGGCTGTAGACACAATCTTAGGTGTTAAATCATTGGGGCGTTAACCCAGCTGACCAGTTGCTGTCCTTCTACATGCATTTTTACAATATTCTGTTAAAACTCGCCATTTCTCTTTAGGATACTTAGAACTGCCTGTCTGCACAATGAACACACACAGCCAGATTAGGGAACTTTATTGCAAGATCTGAGGGGGAGATAAGAGAGTGTTAGCTGTAGGGAATAATTCTTTATATTGGAAAACTGACATAGTAGCATTAGAGATTTTAAGAGAAGGGCTGACAGCACTCTGCATAAGCATAGGAGAGTGAAAAATAATACCAATGTTCTTAAGTAAATGACATTTTAAACTATTTTTTTAACAACTGTGTATTGAGTGGAAGGGAATTTTAGCTTGCTGTTGCATTGTAGCAATGAACAACCTTTTGAATTTGATTATCAGTGCTGACACTCCAGAATATTGCAGCATTAGAGGCAGAAGGGACAGAAGGATCCTAAAATGTCAGAATTTCTATAGTTTTGCCTTGTATTGCACAGATTTTTTGCATTTAAAATAATGTACAGCAGGTTTTAAAGAAGTTATACGGTTTATCACATTTCTTGCTAGATTTGATATAACAAAGTAGCATTGCTTTTCCTCACCATTAAAGAATAGCTTGCATATCAGAGTTTGTTTAGTTTGTACAGGAGTGGTTATTACCAGGTAACAAAAGCAAAAGGAATAATTGGTCCATTTTATCTTGGGCTTTACATTTTACCAATATAAAAGCGTAGAGCTACCTTTCAGCTGATAGTGATGACATCCTCCATATGAGAACCTGCTCCTTTGTTTAGTTGAGATGCTGGGAGGCATTGTTTCAGAAGACTTGTGGACCTGCTTGTTGGCACCAGTAAGTGAAGAAACATATTCCAGCCATGCTGTAATTCAGACAAGCTGTTATCTGATGTGTTGATTGGGTTCTTTATCTCTTTTTGTGGAAAAAACCTGCAAATGCATTTGCTGATTTCTTTTCAGAGGATACCTGGGGAGAAGTTGAGAGTGAGTTGGTAGATAGAAAACTGTGTTACCTCCCTTCATACCGTTTTGTGAGTGTAGTGCTGTTCCATAAAGGACCTATGTTTACTTCCTAGAATTCTTCAAAGTACAGGGTAATGATTAAGGAAAAAGTTAAAAGCTTTATTTCTTAGCAAGTAGTCAGTCCTCACTTAATTACAATTCAAATCTAAGTTAAATTAATCCTAAAGCTTCTGGAAAAGTCTGTAGGAAAACCTAAATTTTTATATTTACAGCTATTGATGATAGCCTTCCATGTATTCATTTTTTTTAAACTACTTTTCTGGTTTTATATTGCTGAACTTTTAAATTATCCTGTGTCTCTTTCTCTAGTGGTATATCTGCAACAGAGAACAATTGTCTGAATCCCTTCAGCCTATTTTTGTCCAGAGTTACCTTGACCAAGGAACACAGATCTTCTTAAACAACAGCATTGAGAAATCAGGCTGGCTGTTCATCCAGCTGTATCACTCTTTTGTGTCCTCAATTTTTAGCCTCTTTATGTCTAGAACATCCATCAATGGGTAAGTGAAAAGTCAAATCTTAGGTAAACTAAATAACAGTTTGGATCTAGAGTTTCCAAGTTTTCAGCCCTACCCTTTGATCTGTCAGCTTTTCTTAAATTTGTAGTTTCCCCTTTGCCAGTCTAACAGATCTGATGCGCTCCTGTGCTTTTCACAGCCAACCCTCTATTGAAGAACACTATTTCAAGTATGGGGGGACAGAGGAGGTAATTGCAATTAATAAGAGATGGTCAGAGGACTCTATTTGTCTTTTATGACTATTACTTGTATTAATTTCCTTCTGGGAAAGAGAGTGTTCTCTTTGTGTTAGACAGTCTTTGCTTTCTTCCCTCTGCTTTCTTTCCCCCACTACCTTGCTCTTTACCTACTGCCCTGTCTCTATCAGTTGCTGTTGTGAGTGTCTGTGTTGAAGGTGTCCAGTCAGCTCTGTATTGCATTTAAAACCCTTTCTGCTAGATAGTGTGTGCACCCATTGCAAACCTAGGCAGATTTCTAAACAGTGCAGAAGTTGGCTGAGTGTTGTGTCAGGTAACAATAACATGGAACAGAAATCTGTCTTTTCTCTTATTCTGTAAAACATAATTTCACCTCAAATTGTGTGTAAGCTGTACTTGAACAGGTGAACTCTGATGTAGCATGTTTGATAATCAGGAAGGCAGTAAAAGATAAGTTTATAAAACAGTACTCTACTCTTACTGCATCAGTCTCTTCTGTGACTGCATGGGAATTTAGCTGTTTGTGAGCACTTTATTATTTTTTCAAAAAAAAGTCTGTGCCTTTTCTTGCTCATGTCACCCCATTCAGTCATATGTTGAACAGCTTATCAGTTTTGACCTTGTGAAGAACACGTTTTGTTACACATACCTGACTTCTCCACCATCCCCACCTCTACACCTACTACATACTTCTGCACCATCTGATACAAGGATAGTAGCTGACTACTACAGATAGAAAAATGATCTTTTTTCCTTATCTTATAACAGGATGACTTTATGAGCTTCCCTGCTGTCTTCCTAGTTACTTGTAGCTTTATGTAAAGGTTCCTTTGGTCTCCTTCCTTTCTCTTCCATATTTTTTTTTTTCCAAAGGCTCTCCAGTGCTTTGAATAACACCTCATAGTGCTGTTAGGAATAATAGCTAGGAGCCAATTATACAGTGTGGACTGACACAAGTGTGCTGCAAGGGACCTAAATTGGCGGTGTTCTGTTTGTTTTTATACATTAAATATCCTCCTTTAGTTTCTTCTATGTGACTGTATACTCTATCCTTTTTGTTTCTTTCTTTGTTTTTAATATCCTCAGTCTTCACTAGGCTGCCTCCTTTTCACATTTTGTTTTTCTTTGCTTCTTTTTGTTTACCTTTTTTCTCCTCAAACATAAAATATTTGTTTATTGTCTTCAAATTTAACATGCTATTCAACATTAGTTTAAAGAATAGAATTTATCTACCTTCAGTCAATTACTGACCAGTTCTTTTTCCTCAGCTTGTTCTCCTAACTCTTTCATCTTCTGAATTCTGGTATGACAGCTGAAATCTGTCACTGTAGTTTTCAAACAGTTGCAGGTGGGTGTGTCATTGACCTGATCCATAAGGAAACCAACTGTCACGTCTACCCAAGTCCTTAATAAGTTGCCTATTTTCTGTTCCACAGCTCTTCATCATGAATGCAGGATCTGCAGATAGCAGCAAAAGCCATTGTAACATGCAATTAAAAAAAATCTCTTTTGCCACTCCAGTGTTACCCCCATCCTTTCTTTAAATTGGTCCCCTGGTTTCCCTCATAATTCCACATCCTATTCCTCATTCCTTGTGCACACTTCTGTGTCTGCAGCCATTTTACTTCCTCCACTATTTAATCTTTTTTTCTTTTTTCTTTTTTTTTTTTTTTTCCTAAGGTAGGTGGCAGAGATTAAAATCTGGAAATGTAACAAATAAGATTCAGCCTTTAGCCTTCCCTCCCTTTCTTTCCCTGCTTTTTTTTTGGTCATTATTAATGTGATCATTTTCTTGAGCTGCACCCCATGAGCTCTTCCTTGCCTAATCAGATTCCTCCTGAAGTCTTAACCACTGTAACTGCATGTGGCTATGTATTTGATCTCTGACAAGTGCAAGGCAAGTTGAACTGGATTTAAAATGTACCTGAGCACTGAGCTTGTCTACTATTCTGTGTGACTGGTTGCTGCCAAAGCACATTCTGAATTACTTTATTATCCTTCCTGTTCAAGTTTGTACGAAATTGGTCATTTCTTGTTTTTTATGTTTCAGGCTGCTGGGAAGGGGCTCAATGTTTGTGTTTTCCCCAGAACAATTTCAAAGACTGCTTAAAATAAATCCAGAATGGAAATCCCACCGACTTCTTGATTTAGGGGCTGGGGATGGAGAAGTCACTAAAGTTATGAGTCCTCACTTTGAAGAAATCTATGCCACTGAATTGTCTGAAACTATGATATGGCAGCTTCAGAAGAAGAAATACAGGTATTATACTTTCTGCATCCTTTATATAATACATTATAGCAAAGTAATCTATTGGTAATATTTAATGAATGTTTAGTATTTTCAATCAAATCCTCTATTGCTTGATCATTATGGAAAAGGTTAACCTGTACAAAAGCAGGAAAACCCCCACATCTGGTATTCCCAGGCTTTTGTTAACCTGTTACCAGTTGAGACAAGATAGGCAACAACTGTTTTGAAGTATCTTTTTTGTAGATTGTGTAAATTGCTTAAATCAAAGGATTTAGGAAGATAAAATTGAGATGATCAGTGTAACGGAACAGTCAAAAAATGCTCATGGGTACTGCAGAGAAAGCAAACTGAATCCTGGTAATATGGAATCCTCAATAACCTGCTGTTACGATTACATAGTGTTTAGTAACAAGAACCTCTGTGCTTTCAGAACTTTGTCCACACACTCACTAGAATTCCCAGAGGTTCTTGCAGACAGCTGATTCAGTCTAGTTGAGTAGTAGTATTTCAGGCACTATATCCCTAGACTTCAAGCCAAAGAATGAAGGAACTGTGGATTTCTTTTTTTCACCTGTCTTTGAGTGGAATCATAACAGCTACTTTGCAATCTGGGTTTGCAAATCTGTAAATCAGAGTGGACAGAATTCAGCAAGCAATCCATTAATCATATTTCAGCTTTATTGTTCCTTGAGAAGTATTTTCAGTTTTATTCTAGGACAATGCATTTTTTTAATACCTGGTGTTTTGTTTTTTGTCTCCTCTTTTGCCTGGTGATTGCAAGGCAATGTAAAGGTTCCTATGGCTGGATATATAGCTATGGCCATTGTTGATTTAGTGTTCTTTTCCAGAAGACCAGAAGGATCATGTCCATCTCTTCTCATTGCTGAGGTGGCTGACCTCTGTGCTATAGGAAATTTTTGTCTTCAGTGGTTCTCTCAGAACTCAGCCTGTGTTTGTTTAACAGACTGTATCTCTTTGCCTTTATAGGGTGCTTGGTATAAACGAATGGCAAAACATAGGATTTCAGTATGATGTTATCAGCTGTTTGAATTTGCTGGATCGCTGTGATCAACCACTGACTGTATTAAAAGATATTAGAAGTGTTCTGGAGCCAACTAGGGGCAGAGTCATTCTAGCATTAGTTCTGCCATTTCACCCATATGTGGAAAATGGTAAGTACACAGATTAATAGCTATTCAGGCAGGTAAAGAAAACATTTGTAGGTGATAGTATCTCAAATAACATGTCTAGTAAATAATTGGCATGTTTGTATTTGATTGTTTATAAATAACTTGTCTGGTGCATGTTCAGAAGTGTGAAATAGGCCTAGGTAAATAGGCCGTATGGTGTAAGCTCTTTTCTTAATTCCCCATCCATAGGTAAATAGGCCATATGGTGTAAGCTCTTTTCTTAATTCCCCATCATACATTGTTGGCACCAATATAAAGCTCAAATATTGAAGCCACATCCTGTTCTGCAGGTTGTCTCATTTGAGTTGTGTTGGAGCAACATGGGAGAACTGATCTCTGATTAGGGCCCTCTCCTGCTGTCATATAGGTAACCCCAGTTGTCTCTAGCAGCCAACTGAGCAAAACCATCAGAACTGTCTAATGCTGAATAGAGCAAGCAGTTCAGGTCAAACTGCTTCAAGTGTTCCAGGTGAACAGCACCTAAAAATTAATAGGGAGATAATGTTCACTTTCCAACATGAGTTCTCAAAGTAAAATATAAACCCCTACTAATATAAAATATCAGGCACTGTTTATATTGTATTAGTAACTGGGATAAAAAAGTAAAATGCAGTGCCAAAACTTTATTTCCTCTAGTTGCATTTTAAAGAAATGAGAGATTTTTAAATGAATCTGTCCTTATGACTAAACTTCAGAAGAGACTAGAAACTGTTTTTTACATGGCTGTGATTGTGGATTCAGGTTGAGAAACCCTGAAAGTGTTTTGAATTCCAGAAGGCTGGTGTTCCTCAGTCATTGTTTGGACACTGGCACTCCTTGAGTATTAAGGCTTGTCCGTGGGAAGGCAAATATGCCCAGAAAACACAGAACTAATCACCTTCACGTTCTGGCCATCACAAATGCCTCAAACTGAATCATGAGTTTTAATTATAAAAAATGCCATCAGGTTAAGACTTGCTTAAAATACAGTATCTGAACATATAATTTTGTAACTATTCTGAAAAGTAGTGTGTCTTAAATGAGATGGGGGGGTGACTTACTACACATCTGAACAGTATTTCCAAGCATATATGGTTACAAATTGCTCCTATAATGTACAACAATACGGCTTCCTCTTTTAAAAATTCTTTTAAATTCCATAGAACAGCAGTGGCTTTCCAGTCTTTCACTGCCATATTAGAAGTAGAAATTGAGGAATTATTTGGGTGGCTTTTTTGCTTATGTGTTATTGCGTTAAGTGTCTACCCTTCTGCATGTTGTTGGGTAAACACATGACAGACCACATGCAACTTCCTCGCTCGGCATGAGGGAGATAAATTAAGGAAGAAACTACTCTTAAGTCCATTTACATCCTTTGTCATTAATCTCCTGCAGTATGCTGGGAGGAGAATAGAGCATTAAATTTCTAAATCCCAGGGGACTGGAAACTTGTTCTGTGACTGTTGAGTTTGGTCGTTCCTACTTGTTGAAGCTGAAATCTGGTGTAAGATGTCTTGTAAACTGAAGTCATACTTTTGTTTATGGCGGTGTCTTGTAGCAGATTAGTCACTTTGCTTAAGGCAGTTTTGCTTCCTTAGTATGTCCTGAAACTTAAAAATATACTCTGCTTGTCTGCTTACCACTGCCATGGATATGGGCCCATATAAACTTAGACAATGCAAGTCAGTCACTCCGCTGAAACTTTCAATTAAGATCTACTTAGCTGTGATCTAAAGGAATAGGCAGTGAACTGCCAGACTGTCTTCATAATGTACAAATTATTTCAGAATATTAGTGTTTCCATTCAGCTATTCTATGAGTTGATGCATTTTTAAAAGTGTTATATATGTACATAGGCTTTATAGTTAACAAAAAATATATCTACTTGGAACATTCAAAGAGGAGAACATTTCTTGGCTCAAGTAACTTGTAGTAGATAATTATAAACAGTTTGGACCCACATAGAGAAACTGTTGAATTTTATAAGGGGGGACAAATGGAAAAGAGATGAGGCAGGTAAGTTGTTTGATCGGTGTATAAGTCAGTTTATAGAAATGGAGAAATTATTTTAATAAAAATGAGGTATTTGGATTATTACACATAATGTAAGGGGAGGGTAATTGTGGCAACAGTCTATGCTAGTAACATAAAACTTGCTTTAAGAGAACAAAGCAAGGTGGAGGAGTTGCTTGCTGTTACTGGAATTACAGTGACACCTAGAGTCCAAAGTAGCTTAATCGTTAATTCTTTCTGAGGCTTTTCAGAGTTTTATTTGCAACATACAGAACACTTATTGGATGTGTCTAAATTTAGCAATTAAGCTGGATGAATCATAAGGTAATAAGACTAGTCACATAAGAACGTGTATTATTATAATGTTGTACTTTGAATATATATTCTATAGGGTGATATAAAAATCCTTTGTATTTCCTAATATATGCATCATACTTATATGAAGGCATTATTAGATAATGTATGACTGCACTTGTTTAAATTTCACTAAAATAAAACGTTAGAGACACCATAACTCAGAAGTAGAAAACCCTGGCAGCCTGGGGCTGTGGTGTTTTCTTGTTGAACACATTAATGTCCTTGTGATTGATTGACAGGGGTAAGAATACAAAGGTGTGTTTTCCATCTTTCTGAAATACATGGTACTAAATTGAGCTGGAAACACAGTACTGTGCTAGATGGACCCTTGCTTTGTCTCAGTTGTCAGTTTTCATTTCACTGAAGTGAGAAATGCCTTTTCATTTGTTAAACAAAGCCTTTGCTTTATTTAAATTAATGTAAAAGATGCAGCTGGTCTCTAGTAGGGATAATGCCTGATACTAACACATCTCTTGTAAAAGTGCTGATTTTTTAGACTGGCTACCTTAGGTAGTAACTGCTAAAAATAAGGTATGTTAAAAAGAAGTATTCTAGAATGACTAGGTCATACAGTTCTGTGTTCATGCTTGTATCCATGTCTAACAGGCATTTAAAGGCAAAACTTGGTGCTCCAGGTAGTCCTGAATTTGGATGGTAGGACTGGAAGATGTGGGTTGTCTGTCTAGCTGGTTAATTTTAATATTCCAGGAGTGACCTTCTCAAGATGACCACTGCTTTCCTTTTAATAGACTAGGAAAAAGCCCCCATCCCATATGAGCTTTACCATCGTAGTATATGTATTGATATTGTCTGTTTCTCCTGCTTGCCTGTCTACAGAATAAATAGATTTTGCTCTATTTGAGCTGTTGTTAAGACTCTGTCACTGTTGATATGTATATCTGTTATGTTGGTAATTATCACATTAACGTGACTAAAACCAGAATTTCACCTATGAAACAAGTTTATTTTCTGTTGCTGTCAATTATCATGCATCTTTCACAAATGTTTGTGTAAAAGGAATACATGTAAGTTTATGGAAAAAGAAAAATATGTAGAATTAACTGAAGACTTTTACAAAGCATTAGCAGTTATCTCATGAAAGATGAAGTCCTTTCCCATGGGTCTTATTCTTGCCAAGTGGACGTAGTCTGTAACATGTACAATGCACTTGGTTTTGGTGATCTGTTTAGAAAATACTTTTGAAGAACACTGCCCTGCAAGGTTTTCTCCTCTCTGTTTAAAACAAAGGAAGTCTGTGAAGAAGCCTAACTCTTCATCTGCCCCTTTGCTTGCCTGAGAAATACTGAACAAATCTGAACTGCTGCACATGCTCATCTGTTCTGATAAACAGTGTCATCTTCCACATCATCCTAGGGGAAAAATGTAGAAGTATTTAATTACTGTTGTGAACTGTTATTTATTAAGGCAGGATTTCCTTTTTGAGGCAAACTCCATCCCTTTACTGTTTCAGTAAACTCCTTTCTTGACATTTATCCAGTTGCTTTTGTCCATGTGGCATCTACAGGTTTCAAAGCACATTTCTTTTCCTCTTGGCTTTTCCTAATCTCCAGCAAGCACAGAGGCAGTAAACATACCCCTTGTTTTCACTGTGTTCATATCTAATTCTCAAAACAAGGACCAGGTCATGTCAGGAGGGACTTGGAAGTCTTTAAAGCAGTAGTTACTGAAGAAAACAATTGGAGCTGT